GCCCCCTCTTGTGATGTTACCTCGCTTGCTGTGGGAACAAGGCAGCTGTGAGTTTCTGCAGCCACGTCACGATGGTTTTCATCCTGTTGCCCAATCGGCAACTCTAAGCAGCAGGCCGGTGTTCACCATGTCTGCTTCTGTTTTTCTTCTTTGCTTTTCCCTTTGTTTTTATGATCTCTCTGATCTCCCACTCTGGTTCCTGAGGTGCCTCTCGCCCGTGAGGCTCCGAGCGGAAAAGGGCGACGTCCGGTGATTGGAGACTCTGAGAATGAGTGCCTGGCCCAGTGTCCCGATGCCAGCGTGTCGGCTGGGCCTGGGTGTCCATGGCTACATCCCCCCCATCCACCCCTGACCAACCAAGACCGACTGCAAGCCTACGCTTCCATTCTCTGACCAATGGCAAAATTGCCGCATTACTTTCGCTGCAGGATGTGTCTCCCAACCAGCCTAAGGGGGCTGTATCAAGGAGCGCAGGTGGGACATGTGATCCTTGGAAGCTGCGACGATTGAACGAGATCGGCATATTGCACCGGTGCGCCTGGTCGCAATCTTGATGGGGATGGACATGCGGGCATCAAGCGAGGTTCGAGGAACGGAAGAAGTCTCCCCGTCACTCCTCTGGGGGCGGTGGGAGCAAAGCGAGCGCGTCACACACGCCAACACAGTGAGAGCCGCTATAAGAAGGCCAACCGGCCCTGCTCCAGAATTTCCGGCGCCTCACAATCAGATTTCCCTACCGTGCACTCTCCTTGTCGATTCCCATTCCTGGCCTCCTTCCCGGTTTCTGATCACCTCCACATCCAAAATTCCACCCACGCGAAATATGCCATCTCCTGCCCAGATCAGCCCTCCATTTCACGTGAACTTCAAACGATGGGCGCCCTCTTGCCCTGAACTACTCTCATCTCAGAGACCCCTCCCTTCACACTCTTTGGCGGCCCGCTGTTCACCTCCCTCTAAACCCCGTCATGATTCTCCCCACAACACTCTGCCTCCCCCCAAGCATCACCTCCCTGCAAGACCACCGGCTGAAGTTTGTGTGCCATTCAGCACCAACACTGAGCGATGTAAGCCATCAGCATCCCGAACTCGAGCACAAGAGATATCAATACCACCACCCAGCATGCGATCTTCAAAAAGCCCTGAGCATGGACCCTCATATCCGCATGACCCGGCGTTTACCCCAAGTTCACCTCGAATTGCTGCCTGCAACACTCAAGATCCTACCACTCCTCCAGATGAGCCGCCTCTGCTTGAGAGAGACGCCACAGGGCCTGGTCCACCCTCACCTGATACAACTACAACTAGCTCCGACGGCGGCCTAGCGAGAATTCCTCACGCTCCCGGTTCTTCGAAACGACGACAACATTCTCCATTGACACGGCCATCCATGCTGATGACAGGCCCTGGGAGGCCAGTGAGCTTCTCCCATCTTTCTGGCAAGGCAACGGCCGTGCAATCCAGACCACACACTGTCCATATCCCAAGTCCCCTCCGTCTATGTTCTTCGACCTGCCCAGCTATCATCAGGATTCTCTGGGGGGGTTTGACGGCCGGGACGATAATGCCCAATTGGATAAAGATTCCCACTTCCAGGCCCATTCACAATTACACCTCAGCGCCAGGACCGATGCACCTTGTCCTAGCAGTGTGGATAACGGCTCACCTGGCGAACAATCAGAGAGTCTCAAGCGAGGAGCGGAGGGATCAGAAGAACAGAGCACGAAGCGGCCTCGGATTGCTTCTGTGTTGCCTGTCAGGGAAGATTCCTTTACCGCCCTTCGTTCCCATTTCCTATCTCTACGGCTCAATGAACGCCTGCAGTTCCTTTCTTGGCTGTTTGAAAGTGCTTTAGCCAGCTGCACACACGAGTTCAATGAGAGTGTGCAGTCAGCCGTTCACACGGATTCCCGTGAGGCACCCGAGCAAATTCGGCATGGGCACAGCAAGAGGCAGGGCCATGGAGCCAAGGCATTGCGATGGTCCCCTGAGGACGACGCACGCCTTCTAAGCATGACAGAGGAGCGCTGCTCGTGGCCGGAGATAGAGAAGTGTTTTCCGGAGAGGACATATTCAGCCCTACGCCAGCGGCAGTCGGCACTTCGAAAGCAGTCGACACTTCGAAAGCAGTCGACACTTCGAAAGCAAAGAAACAAGGTGAAATTACGTCCGGTTGTTCTGATATAATATATGTACATAGTATTCATGGATATGGCCAAAGTGACTTCTACCCATTCTTTATCACTGCTGCTGTTTCTTTCTGCTAGTTACATTTCAGCCACCCAGTGTGCGTGAGCAACATGGCGGAGGACATTTTTGTAAGCTGTCCCATAGCACCATGCCTCTTTCTGTGACAATCCCTATTTCAAACCATCAAGAAAAGCAAGCACTGCTGACTGAAAATCCACATGCTGCCGAACACCCGACAGGCCTTTGGAAAATGCTGCGACTGTTCTTTGACCTGGTGTGTCCCGAGGATCAAGGACAACAGACAGAATTTGTCCTAACCCACCCCGATTATGGTATACAAAATGTCATGGTGTCCGAGGACGGTAGGCTGCTCGCCCTCATTGATTGGGACGGCGCCAGTGTCGCAGACAATGATCTATATGGCGCTTTGATGGTGAACATCTTTGCACACGAATGATTGGGAGGGACTGTTCTGTTGCAATTCCCACAGATGATAGCCGTATTTCTCTCTGGGCACTGACAGGTTATGTGCTGAGAGAAGTTTGTCGCAGCAACTTCCTTGTTGCAAAGGGTGCACAGTTTCATTTGTGAAACCATGGTTGAAGGAGGACAGAGGACGAGGTGGAGGACAAAATGGGGATGGTGAAATATTTGTGATCTAGTGGATAAAAGATGTTCCATTCCGTGTGAAAGTTGGGCCTAGCGTATGATACCACCGGAAAATCATGGGTTGGCGTAGAGATGGAGCTTCATCGTGCATACCTTATGGGAATTCTCCTGCAAA